CCTCCCTCAAAGTTCTCTCTGACTTAAGCCCTTTTTTTTTTTTTTAAATTTTTTTTTTCAACGTTTTTATTTATTTTTGGGACAGAAAGAGACAGAGCATGAACGGGGGAGGGGCAGAGAGAGAGGGAGACACAGAATTGGAAACAGGCTCCAGGCTCCGAGCCATCAGCCCAGAGCCTGATGCGGGGCTCGAACTCACAGACCGCGAGATCGTGACCTGGCTGAAGTCGGACGCTTAACCGACTGCGCCACCCAGGCACCCCTAGATGACTTCTTTAGAGAAGTGTCTATTCATGTCTTTTGCCCATTTCTTCACTGGATTATTTATTTTTTGGGTGTTGAGTTTGATAAGTTCTTTATAGATTTTGGATACTAACCCTTTATCTGATAGGTCAGTTGCAAATAGCTTCTCCCATTCTGTCGGTTGCCTTTTAGTTTTGTTGATTGTTTCCCTCACTGTGCAGAAGCTTTTTATTTTGATGAGGTCCCAATAGTTCATTTTTGCTTTTGTTTCCCTTGCCTCTGGAGACGTGTTGAGTAAGAAGTTGCTGTGGCCAAGATCAAAGAGGTTTTTGCCTGCTTTCTCCTCGAGGATTTTGATGGCTTCCTGTCTCACATGTAGGTCTTTCATCTATTTCGAGTTTATTTTTTGTGTATGGTGTAAGAAAGTGGTCCAGGTTCATTTTTCTGCATGTTGCTGTCCAGTTTACCCAGCACCACTTGCTGAAGAGACTGTCTTTATTCCATTGGATATTCTTTCCTGCTTTGTCAAAGATTAGTTGGCCATATGTTTGTGGGTAAAAATTAGCTACTGTTATGGACAGATTGTACTGCATGCCAATATTGCAGCAGGAATGAAATCTAGATTTTTCCAGGGCTTGAATTTTTTTCTGTTAAAAGTATCCTTCCATCTATTTTTCATGTTAACGTATCTAAGGCTTACTTTAATTTTACCACTGAGAGTTCTGAGAGAGGCAAAGAGACAGAGAGAGACAGACAAACGGACCAACCCTCAGACAGCTCTAAATTTAGAATATGGGTTCATAAATAGTTTATCCTAAAGGAAGTTTAGGCTAAATGCAGTTTTGTATGCATTATTTATTTACTTACTTACTTTGTATTTTGTTATTATTATTATTATTATTATTATTATTATTATTATTTTATTATTATTATGTTTTAGCAGGCTCCACACCCAGCAAGGAGCCAAACACAGGCTTGAACTTACCACCTCGAGTTCAAGACTTAAGCTGAGATCAAGAGCTGGATGCTTAACCAACTGAGCCACCCACGTATCCCTGTATTTCTTTTCTTTTTTTTTTTTTTTTTAAGTTTATTTATTTATTTTGAGAGAGAGAGACAGAACACAGAAATGGCAGAGAGGCAAAGAGAGTGGGAGGGAGAATCTCAAGCAGGCTCTGCACTGCCAACGCAGAGCCCAATATGGGGCTCGAACCCACGAACCATGAGCCGAGGTCAAGGGCTGGGTGTTTAACCGACTGAGCCACCCAGGTGCCCCTGTATTTCATTATTTTAAATTTAATGCCAGAATTACATTTCAGTTGCCTTTGAGGAAGCAAATGTTTGTGGGTTTTTAAAATTCTTTTGTTTTTGTGTTTTTTAATGATCAGGCATTACTTGAGCTGACCAAGATTTGTTGATGACACATATTTAGAAACGTGACTCGTTGGTATCTTCCTGTTGGTTTGAAATTGAGGAAGTCTGGATGTGGTCAGCAACGAGAGGTAGAGGTGCTAAAGAGGCTCTCAGCTACTAGAAACACCCTGCTGCAAAGATAACAGCAAACTTCCCACTATCAGGGATGGAACAAGCAGTTAAAGGGGTCTGTCCCAACTGTGTAGTTGTAATTCTCACCTGTGTAAGTAAGCAGACATGTCAGGGAGCAGATGAGTTCCAGGGCCAGGATGGCCAGGATGAGGTCAGGATACAACCTGCTGGGCTCCGGGAAGGAGTGCTGCACGCACAGCACGAGGAGAAGAGCCGTGTTGCCTGAGGAGGAGAAAGAAGCTCAGAGTCAGCAGAGCGCAGAGCCGGCCCCGGGGCAGGCTTGCAACGGGGCCACTTACACTGAGCAGTCAAGGGAGCAAAAGGACAAAAGCCCCAAATTGCTGCTCTCTTGAGGAAAAAAACCCCAACCCGTCTGAGTTAATGATGCCCCATAATACTTAAAAGCTAAAAAATGATTTTTTGCTTTATAAAATTATTCGCAATGGCATATGTGTTGAGTCTTGTGTGCATTTGAGAAAGGATGCAGTTCGTAGAACTTTGCATTAGCCCAGTTCTTCAGAATCCAGAGGCACGAGGACCCTGGTCGCCCATGCTGGTGACAAACTGCAACAACACAGACTGCTGCGAGACTAAGAATGTTGCAGTTATCCGCAGCATCTGGGTGGAACTCCGGGACACGTTGCTAACTGTGGACAAGTGACCTGATACCTCTGCTCCTCAACTTCCTCGTCTGAAAAATGGGGATGACCGGACCTTGCTCACAGTCCTGTTGTGAGGCATAGATGAGCTAATATGTGAAAAATACTTATAATGGCAAGTATTTGATAAATATGAGCTATTCCCCCTCCCCACTCCTGGCTCAGCATACCTATTACTTGGTTTTGAAGACCATCAAAATATAACTCAGAAGAAAAATAGAATTCTGGAGCAAAGAGCCCAGGTCTTGCCATAGCGTAGTGTATGACGGAGTTTGCCACGGGGACCTGCTTGGAGCAAGGGTTGTATGGCAATGTGCTTGCAACTGTGAAGGATTACACGAAATCAGAATTATTCTGGTAATTCTGGGGATACCTACCCTTTCTTGAATGCTTACTAGGCACTGTTCACTTCCTCCTACACTAGAGTTTGTGTGATAAATATTATATCTCCAATTTTATAGAGAAAAAGTATCAGGATGAAGCTAATCACTATCTGACAATAGTATCACCAGCGATAAAAACAATAGTTACACTCATCTGATTAGCTGGAAATTCTACAGCTTCATAGATTTACCTTTTTATTCTTCATATAAGGAAAAAATACTTAAAGAAAATAGAAACAAGGTAAATACCCGCCCCAATCTCTTTGATTTTCTGGGTCCTTCCTTATATAGGCAACATAAAAGTGTTGCCATTTGTGATTAAAGTAAGGGTCCGATTGCTTAGAAACAGATTAAGGGTCATATTAGCAAGAATTTGAAAGTGAGAGGAAAGGTAAAGATTAGACAATCCTTTGGTGGGCTTCAAAAATACTATTTCCAGACCGGTCACTTGAACATTATTTTTGTCATAATTCATATAAGTTAAAAATGGGTTTTGCTTTTATCTTTGTGGGTGGCAGGAAAGGTCATAGTGACATCTTCCGGCCCAAAACAAGTACTACATATCAGCAGTTCAACATATAAGCCAAACTCTACCCCAGGGAACAGTAAAAATGTCACCCCTTTCATGATGAGTCAAATCAGCCATCTCTATAATATGCTTCTTTCTCTGTTATGGCATGGCCCTGCGGCTTCCACTGAGAACATCACTGAGTGGATGAACTCGCAGCTTGCCCCTTAAGAAAATGTACTAACAATCTCCCAACCAACAAGAGTCCAGGGACAGATGGCTTTCCAGGGGAAATCTACCAAACATTTAGAGTTAACACCTATCCCTTTGAAGCTATCCCCAAAAATAGAAATGTAACGAAAACTTCCAAACTCTATGATGCCAGCATTACCTTGATTCCAAAAGCAGACAGAGACCCCACTAAAAAGGAGAACTACAGACCAATCTCCCTGATGAACATGGATGCAAAAATCCTCAACAAGATACTAGCCAACCGGCTCCAGCAATACACTAGAAAAATTATTCACCACGATCGAGCGCGATTTATTCCTGGGACACAGGGCTGGTTCAATATTGACAAATCAGTTAATGTGATACATCACATTAATAAAAGAAAGGATAAGAACGACAGGATCCTTTCAATAGACACAGAAAAAGCACTTGACAGGGGCCCCTGGGTGGTTTAGTCAGTTAAGCGTCTGCCTTTGGCTCAGGTCGTGACCTCATGGTTCATGGGTTCAAGCCCCATGTTGGGATCTCTGATGACAGCTCAGAGCCTGGAGCCTGCTTCAGATTCTGTGTCTCCCACTCTCTCTCTGCCCTTCC